GTGTATTCAGCAGTCTGTATGTGTATATTCAGCAGTCTGTGTGCATGTATTCAGCAGTCTGTGTACATGTATTCAGCAGTCTGTGTGTATGTATTCAGCAGTCTGTGTGCATGTATTCAGCAGTCTGTGTGCGTGTATTCAGCAGTCTATATGTATTCAGCAGTCTGTGTGCATGTATTCAGCAGTCTGTGTGCGTGTATTCAGCAGTCTGTGTGCGTGTATTCAGCAGTCTGCGTGTGTGTGTATTCAGCATTGGAAGTACCAATAAATATAAACTCAATTTTATCAACAAGTTAGATTTGTATTCATGTGAGTTGTATAGGCAGGGCCCCATAATGCTGTTAAGATGGCACTGGTCACTTAGTACTTTTATGGTCTTTGCACGCCATATATACATATACCATGCTAGTAGTTATATGAGCGGGAGGACACAGTTTTCCTGTTTGACATGATTGTATGATGTGGACATACAGCTAAAGCAATTTTTTCAAAGGAACAATTGGCCTGTTTTGTCCAGGGTTGCAAGCTCCTCTACTCCTGTGTCTCTAATTACTCCTAGTTACCGCTTCTTGTCACTCTACGCTGCCATAGTAAGAATCTGCCAATCTCTTCAAGTGCTGTTTATTTAGTGCCAATCTCCTCCGTACATCTATCATTCCATTACCTCCATACGTTTTTCAATCTATACTTCAATGCTAAGTTGTCTTATTCTCTTCTCCCTCTGCCAGTCTCCTCTGTCGATCTTCATTGCTGTGACTTCACCTGTCTGCCAGTGAGTCAAGTCTTGGCACATAAACCCATATCTTTTTGTCATTTATTTTCAAGGTATTATCGAGTAGTCATCTACAAGCAGTATCCATGCCAAGTTTCTGATTAATACAGGATATTAAATGTTAAGTGAGTCAGGGCTTTTATTTTTGCAAGCTATTAAGATCACCCAGGAATAAAAGGTTTCAACACTAAATACAATTAGTGAAAATATTATTTTACCAGGAGGCCATATAAACAAATTCACTATAAAGTAGTAATTTGATCATCAGCTTTTAATATTATCAAAGTTCAGTACAGATGGGCAGAACTTTAGGAGGGGAGACCAATGATGCAACTTGCAGGTACGTCCACTGAAGGGGTTTTTAGACATCCTTCTGACCGGACCCCACCATACAGGACCACACAGAGAGCACTTAAGCACTTATAATGATATGCCTGTGCTCAGGGCCAGACTGGGAATTAAAAGCAGCCCTGGAAAAAAAAATATTTACCAGCCCCATAATGCGTCGTGCCAGCATAGTGTGCAGATACAGAGTTAGAACAGATAACTTAAAATTAAAAAGTACTTCAACGTAAAAAGCACACTCATAGGCTTCAAAATAAACAAAAGTGCAGATTTATTTTAAGCAGACGTGCCTTTGCATGTAATCAATGTTTCAGTCCAACTACCTTGACATATTAAGGAAAGCTTGTTAATGGGACTGAAATGGTGAATGTATGTAGGGCACAACTGTAAAAAATGTTTATTTTGAAGTCCTGTGGGTGTGCTCTTCACTTTAAATATGTTATTGTGCTGGAGTATGCACCTAGCAACAAGACTGGGCCAAAATATGTACATATGGTACATATTAATGAAATTTCTCTGTGTATTATGCATATATAAATGTACATTAATACATGTAAATATAAAATATATATATATATATATATATATATATATATAAAACTAATATACACATTAATATAAATGTCATATACCAGTGACGGATCCAGAGCCTGAGCCTGGGAGGGGCACTTGTAGATTATTTAAAGAAATATTCCATGCACAATAACCACTACTCCTCTGTGTAGTGGTTATGGTGCCAGGAGTGTCGGCACCCCCTCCCAGAGTAAGTAGTCAAACCGTTTAAGAACAGTTTGACAACTTACCTGGAGTCTGCTGGAATATGGGGCTGTAGTAGGGTATAGGAGCAGTGGTGCAATGTGTGAGGGGTGCAATGTGTGTAAAAGGTTCAGTGTGTGGGTGTGGGGGGCAGTGTGTGAATGTGTATGGTGTGTGTGTGTGGGGGGGCAGAGTGTGAATGTGTATGGTGTTGTCAGGTATACCCTAGCATTCATGCTGCCGCCGGAACCCACTTCCGGGTTAACGTCGCTTAGCCCCGCCCCTTTTTCTGACGCGGTCCTTCCACGATACTTAGGAAGACCGCGCCAGATTCAAAGGGCTGGATTATTCACTCAGGTGCGGCAGTGAGATCAGCTGTTCTACTTGATGCTACCGGCTCCTCTCTCAGACCTCGGCTTGTAAACGGATTTCTACCTTCTCCTCTCTCAGACCTCGGCTTGTAAACGGATTCCTACCTTCTCCTCTCCCAGACCTCGGCTTGCACAAACGGACTTCCTTTCTCTCAACTACTAATTTGCAGTTTGTTAAAAGAGACTCCTATCTCCTCCTCCATTGGGTGAATTAACCCTTCCAGTGCCAGAGTGCCTCTAAGTTAAGTAAATCTTTTGTCAAGCAAACCAAGTCATATCAATTAATTATAGTACTTAATTTCTCTAAACTCTCACTTGGCAAATAAGGATTGCTGCTAAGGCTAATTCTTCCTACCAATATCAATTTATTCAAACTGCAAGCCTGTCCAACTTCATTATTAAATTTCTCATAATTTATTCCATCTTATTCAAGTTGGAACTAACTTTGCATTTTTCCTGCTTATTTATTTAAAGATACAGTCCACTGTTTTCACTTCAATATAATAGGAGGTGAAACTTAGTGTTCCTGCACTCAGAAAATTCTGCAGTTGAGTTCCAATTAAAGAGGTATTACACAATAAGTATCACAGGTGTGTGTGTGTGTGGGCAGTGAGTGTATGGGGCTAGAGTTCACTCCTACTACTGCGACCACCAGGAAGTGGTGAGAGTGAACTCTAGCCCGTAGCTCCAGGGCTAGAGTTCACCCTCGTGAGAGCCGGAGCGTTGCCCCGGGTCCTCTCTCTCTCCCCCTCACTGCTCCTCTGTGTCAATGTCTCTCTCCTTCCCAGTCTCTCTCTTTCCCCTCTACCTCTTTCTTCCCTCCCCTTGTGTGTCTCTCATTTCTCCCTCTTTGTCTCTCTCTTCCCCCTCTGCCTCTTTCACCCCCTTTCCCTGTGTCTCTCCCTCCTCCCCATCTCTCTCCCTCCCCCTTTCCCTGTGTCTCTCTCTCCTCCTCCCTCCCTCCTTTCTGTGTCCTCCTCTCCCTTCCCCCCCTTTTCCCTGTGTCTCTCCCTTCCACTCTCTCTCTCCCTCCTCTCCTCTCCTCCCCTCATTTATCCTATCTCAGGCAGCCGCCGTACCGCCGCTGGTGCCCGGTCCGGCGGCACTCCAGTCACAGGTGTCACTGATGGCTGAAGGAGGAGGAGCCTGTCTACCATGCTCCCTTGTGGTTCCTGTGCTGGGAATTGTGGGAACCGAGAGGGAGCATGGTAGACAGGCTCCTCCTCCTTCAGCCATCAGTGACACCTGTGACTGGAGTGCCGCCGGACCGGCGAAGCTGCCACCCGGCCCGGCGGCTCCAGTCTGGAATGCGGCCGGCCCCCTCTCAGTGTGCCACCGGACCGGACACCCGGTGGCACCTATGTAGCAGCCCAGCCCCAGGTGCTGCGGCCCACCGGGAAATTTCCCGGTATCCCAGTGGGCCAGTCCGGCCCTGCCTGTGCTGTGCTGTGCTGTGCTGCTTAAGGACAGTTCCCGATTCACCAAAATTGGCACAGTTGGGAGACCTGCTAGAAGTAGTTCTGAACTGACTCTGAAAGCAAAAGTATAACCCCTGCTGGGGCTGTCTTAAGAGAATATTTCCACCCCCTTAACAACTTCAATAAAGTTGTTATTGTAGCATTAATGGTTTTCTTCTCACTAGTAGACTGATTAATAGGATCTGAAGTGTTTAAATTGCTGTGGTACCACAGTTTAGGTTTACCTAAACAAACAAAAATAAAAGCTAGAATGCTATAAATGACCCTGAGAGGCAAACTCCAGCATGTAGAAATTGTAGTAGACTCGTGTCTACCTTTATTTATTTTGCATTTAGTATATTGCAAACACCATCTGCACTAGATTTGTTCTATGTTTTTTCTCTTTTATATATCACTCCACATTGAGATTTATATAACTGTAACGGACCGTTTTGCACATAAGGGGTAAAAATTGTTTAGGCGATCGTCCCCCTTTCCAGAGATGCAGGCACAGCTATTGTAGAACACCAAACACACGAACCGCCAATAAGTGAATGCTCCAAACTCCCGAACGGCATCCAATATAGCACTTCAAACACACGAACAGGAACCATACGAATCGCTGCTAGCAGACGAATAGGAAAAGCACCCAAGCGGCTTACACTCCTAGCAATACAGTAAATCCCCCCAAAGACGAGACAAGGCTCCATGTTGTGGGTCAAGCAGTGGTCTGTTTAATGAGGGCTACCTGCCCAGTATTTATGCAGGTCTCCCACCTGGTGGACACTCCCCTAGGGGACCAAATGGGAGACTGTGAAAAAAGACAGACAAGTTGACAAATAGGACACACAGTCACATTATATTCCCACAATGCATCCTGGCTTCCTCCCCTCTGCCTTGGAGATAATCGAGAAGTAATTCAATTATCTCCCAAGACAAAGGCAAATCGCCATTATGCACGTGGGGATACTAACACACGAATTACTATTAAAATACACTATGTGAGACACATAACATTAAAAGCATACATTTAACATATCCCCAGATAGCACAGGTCTGAGCGCACATTATTAAGCGAATGGCGC